CCAATTTAATATGATTTTATCTTAAAGCATTTTCTTTTTTTAGTTTAAAAACAAAACAATATCGCTATGTTTATAAACTTAGAAATATATTTATCTCTTCGTAAGTATGCAGCATCTGTAAAATATCAATCCAATTTTGAAATGTTACACATTTGTATGATAAGTCCACGACTTGATTTGGGGGTGAATATTTTACAATTATGCTCACCAGGTGACAACCCTGCAGGACACGTTCAATTTGTAGACCAAACAGAAACAAGAAATACCCGAGTTAGTGAACATCGTTTGTGAAGAGCTTGGACTTTCTACCTCAGTCACTTCTGTTATCTGTATTTAGATCTTCCACATTAATGTTTCCAAAGTTTTCATTGTTTAGAGCAAATATATATATTTGTCTGGAAGCCGAAAGTGACCCAGTGGTTAACGTTTCGGATTTCGGAGTCGAGGTTTCATAGATCGCGCTTCTTTACTGCGAGGAAAATTTAAAACTTTATGGTCGTAGGTGCGTTATAAGAGTGATGGTCAAAACCCACTATTCAGTCTGACAAGAGTAGACGAAGAGTTGGCATTGGGTGATATTGACTAGCTGTCTTCCCTCTATTCTATCACTTCAAAATTAGGGACGGTTATCGGTGTAACTTGTCGCAAAATGCAACAAAACAAACATATACTAAATTTGTCATTGAAAGTATTAATTCCCACCTAATGTTCGGTATCCTTCAAATTTTATCAGAGCTTGCCTACCTAGTATCCTGATTATTATTAAACATGTTAAACTGAAATTAACAAAAAATTATAACATATTACACTCCAACTTAAAGAATTAATGAAGTTTTGACAGATGCAGAATTGGAAATAGTTATGGAAATTATGCACATGCGGGAATTACAAACAATGATTTATTGCAACTAAATAATCAACTTATCATCAGTACAATACATTATTACGGAAAATACAAAAGAAAAGGAAAAAATGTAGAATGTACTAATATTTGTGTTTGTTGTAAACAGAGTAGTTCACCTTGTTTGTACTAATATTTTGTGTTTGCTGTAAACAAAGTAGCTCACCTTGTTTTCACTAACATTTTGTGTTTGTTGTAAACAGAGTAGTTCACCTTGTTTTCACTAATATTTTGTGTTTGCTGTAAACAGAGTAGTGCAACTTGTTTGTACTAATATTTTGTGTTTACTGTAAACAGAGTAGTGTAACTTGTTTGTACTTATATTTTGTGTTTGCTGTAAACAAAGTAGCTCACCTTGTTTTCACTAACATTTTGTGTTTGCTGTAAACAGAGTAGCTCACCTTGTTTTCACTAATATTTTGTGTTTGCTGTAAACAGAGTAGCTCACCTTGTTTTCACTAATATTTTATGTTTGCTGTAAACGAAGTAGCTCACCTTGTTTTCACTAATATTTTGTGTTTGCTGTAAACAGAGTAGCTCACCTTGTTTTCACTAATATTTTGTGTTTGCTGTAAACAGAGTAGCTCACCTTATTTTCACTAATATTTTGTGTTTGCTGTAAACAGAGTAGTGCAACTTGTTTGTACTAATATTTTGTGTTTGCTGTAAACAGAGTAGCTCACCTTATTTTCACTAATATTTTGTGTTTGCTATAAACAGAGAAGCTCACCTTGTTTTCACTAATATTTTGTGTTTGCTATAAACAGAGTAATGTTTTTATGCTACCAAACGTTTATCATTGTACGATTTCGAGATTTTGTTCCAAATGTTTTCTATTATTCCTCATAATATGATTGCCGTTTGTCCTTCTCGGTTTCTATATAACCAATATATCTATATTTATAGTAATATCGGGAGCCTCTGGCTGTGAATATTCCATCAGCTGCTATTTCCTACCAGTTATTGTTTCACCACACTTACTGGTGCTCTTGTTTCATAGTAATGTGTGGGAATAAAAGATGATTTAAGTATCTACTTAAATGTTTTAATTACTGATACTATTTTATTTCAGACTCGTCTTTATCGTCATTTTTCATAATCAATTCGACCACTGGTAGAATAGAGCTACTGAAAACTCTAGATGAACTAAGAAGTCAGTATGGCGACTGTAGCGCTCTCTTGTTTCTAGCGGTCAAGGTATATATACTTGTGATAATTTTAAACTGTAACTAAAGTCAGCAATATTAGAACGTAAGGTATTTGAGGATATATAGTAATAATAATTGTGTTTATTAGGAATTAGCACTAATAATGTGAAATGTTATTGCTATTAGAAGTTACGTTTTGAAATGTAATATAATCACGCTTAAAAATAGTGATAGCAACAGTAATTGATACTATAAGGAAAGATGTATTTGAAGATATAACAATGCTCGTGTTTGGTAGGAGTCAAAATGGAGACTGCAGAAGACTATTGTTACTAGAAGTTAGGTATTTTACAATATAATACAACAATGATTACGTTTACTAGGAGTAAAAATGAAAGTAACATAAGTAGAACTCAAGATATTTGGAAAATATCATAATAGTATTTCTGTATTTATAGGTATATGCAAATCACACTGTCTTTTAAAGAATCATTGGTGACTACTGACTGTGGTTTATTGTTAAAAGCATTGTGGAATGTAATAACAATTAGGTTTGTGTAAAGATAGTATAGCAACTTCTATAGCCTAATGTTACATACGGTTAAGTGAGCAAAAAATACGTTATGTAATTCTGACTACGTTCGAAGTCAGTAATGGTGGTTGTGTTATTGAGTTTTTTCTTTAAAATATAACCATCGATCTTTGTAAAAGAGTTTAAAAAGTTAATGATTTAATAATTATTTTGTTGGTCTTTAACCCACAAGTGAAAGTTTTCTGTTTTTGTTTCTATTAGAAGAGGTGTTATTTGTTTCATAACCTTAAAACCTTATGTTTTTTGACAGACTGAGTTATATTCACATGAATCTGTTTCCATGTGTTAAAAATCGATTTTAGTTTATCCCCAACTTCATCACGTTGAAGTTTGTTTTTTTTTATTTTAGATATTTAAAGCAGAAAGTTTTCATATTTAATAAAAAATTCTTAAATTCTCAGAATTATTTTAACAATTTACAGGTTAATCAAAAACAAGTAATGCTTTTTTGAATTTGTGTGGTCTAAATGTTTTGTGGATGATCACTTTTCGTAGCATGGCCTGGTGGTTAGGGGGCGCTTGACTCGATATCTGAAAGTCGCGGGTTCAAATCCCCGTCCCATCAAACATGCTAGCCCTTACAGCCGTGACAAGCTGCCTTCCCTCCAGTCTTTTACTGCTAAATTAGGGTCGGCTGGCACAAATAGCCCTCGTGTAGCTTTGCTCGTTATTCAAACCAAACCGATTTTCATAGAATCTTTACATGTTCAACATTGCTTTTGGAAATTTTCTAGGCAAAAGAATCAACAACTCTAAGTTCTTCATCGGAAACAACAACAGAAATTGCATTGTTTTTGACGAACCCACACAAACAAACTCTGAACCCACCAACTGACATAACCACCAGTTTTGATGCTAGCAGTTTTCCTAACCAGTCTACCAGCAGCTCTCCAAACCAGTGTGTACCAACTGTTCCAAGTCAGTCTTCTGGTAATGGTATAAATCACGCCCCTAGATTCACTAATCAGAACTATGCCGGAACAGTTCAAGAGAGCAGTTTTCTTCAGACCCCAGTCCAATGGATGGGCGCTACTGTTCCTCAAGTAATTGATGACGACGAGGTAAATAGTTGATTTATTTTTAAGTTTGTTTGATTTTTCAAGAAAAAATAAAGTCGCCAGGAAAAATTTCGTCAAATGAATTTTTAAGCAAACAAAGTATTTGCAAGTCAATATAGAAATGATAATAACATTCTGATAAATGGAGCATGTTAAATTGTACAGATTACCTTCCTTCTATGAATATAAATTCATCTTTGAGATAAGCTATTATCTTTAGAGTGATTTATCCTAGACATCTTTCCTTCAACGTACGTTAAACAGTTTAACTCTGATAATGAAGCGTACATTTTTAGCCGCTGCATAGAACGGATCTGAGTTATTTTTTGAAATGCAAACTTTTATCTCATAGCTCCGTCATCTCTTGACCGATTTGAAATATATTTACAGTTTTCGACTCAGGAAGTCAAACCCTTTTCATTGATGTATTTAACCACGCCCAAGCTCTTATAGATTAACTTACTCTAATCTTGACAAAAATAATTTCATGTACCGCGGCTGTTGAGGGTTCCCTCTTGTTTACTTAGTATTTAGTTACATCAAACGTATAAAAAACTAAAAATTACACCATAGAGCTGAGTCATCTTTTAAACGAGATTTTGTGTTTAAAATGTAAACATATGATTCAAAGAGCTTATCTGCCGAATAAGCGTATTTTACTTTGATACATTTATATAGCCTTACCCTCAGGTATTCCAAGCTTATAAGAATTTTTTACAATTGTAATTGTTTCTTATAAACTTGGTTTAAACTAACATCATTTAATCGGTTTATTAGCTTTAACTAGATGTTTTCAAATGTATGCAAATCATGACAGTAGTTTATTATCTTTCGTTTGACAATCTTTCTTAAGTCTATGTGTTTTACAGGGTAATAACGCCACGTTTCAACTTTATTTGGAAGGGGGTGATGAGACTTTTCAAGTTATCCCCAGTTCTGGCATTAAAACTGTGGACTTTAGACTTATTGTTAGGATTCCAGCTAACCTGGACTACGACAACAGAGAAGACAAGTATATAGACTTGGAGGTAGAAACTTCTACGTTCTTATATATTTACGCTGTCTTGTTTTCATACTTCTGTGTTATTATATATGTTTTATACAGTGATATAAAGGTATTACGAATTCCATTCTGTGTTATTATATATGTTTTATACGGTGATATAAAGGTATTACGAATTCCATTCTGTGTTATTATGTATGTTTTATACGGTGATCTAAGGGTATTACGAATTCCCTACTCTGTTATTATGTATGTTTTATACGGTGATATAAAGGTATTACGAATTCTCTGCTCTGTTATTATGTATGTTTTATCCGGTGATATAAAAGTATTACGAATTCTCTGCTCTGTTATTATATCTGTTTTATACGGTGATATAAAGATATTACGATTTCCCTTCTGTGTTATTATATGTTTTAGACGGTGATATAAAGGTATTACGAATTCCCTACTCTGTTATTATGTATGTTTTATACGGTGATATAAAGGTATTACGAATTCCCTTCTGTGTTATTATGTACGTTTTATACGGTGATATAACTAGTACGGCAAGTTGACTTAATAAACTCTTGCTACGACTACTGACATACCATTTTATTTTTTACCTGGAGCAGGTTATATTAAACTTTATATTAAAACTGTTTTGAATATGCAGATCAGCAAGGCACGTGAGAACCACAGCTGGTATAAAATCACGGTGGAAGAAATGTCAGAAAAACATTTTGGCATTATTTGACATTACGTAGGAATTGTGATAGCACCAAAAACTGACAGCTTTGGAAAAGTTATGTAGTCCTTTCCAACGCAAAATATCCATGCACTCAACTGATAAAGCTGTGTTCAGATCGGGGATTTAGGATTTCTAAGTTAGTAATGTCCTTTCTACTTATGGCATTAGAAAACAAAGGAATAGCGATGAGGTTCGGGCACAAGGACCATCCAGAGAAAAACCTGAAACAGGTAGTTTTTCCAGCCGTGGTAAGCAAGGTGCAGCATCTTGTAACATGTGAGAACAAAGGGTGGCAAAAAGCAACATAATTAAGATGGATCTTCGTATGGATACGAGGCCAACAAGGGTATGGATTCACCAAGACGGCGTTTCTGCTTACACATCCATTTCAACCGTCACATATCTCAAGCAGGTGGAAAATGAAATGGGTCTTCGTGCTATTCCACACAAAAAATATACCGCTAAAGAAACACCTTTGGATTTTCTATGATCGGACTATTTAAATGAATGCTTGGAAATCGCTGTCTCCTCATACACTAGTTGGTTTATGGAAAGCAAACAGAGAGAAGTGGTGCAGTTTGAACATGACAACCTCACGACGGAGCCTTTTGCAAAATAAGCAAAGAAAATTGAAAGTAAACATTTGATATTTTTAAAATCTGTCCAAATACATTTGTTAGCCGTGCATTACAGTATTAAGTAAGTGCAGTCTACCTTCAAACGAAGTGCGATAGGCTCCTTAGTTTATGTATTTTACTAAGATTAATAGTTTTAAGTAATCAGCTCTTAAAAAATTATATTCAGATTGAGTTATGTAATTTGAACAAACCAATCAAAAGAATAATAATGGTTGGAGACGGCTTGAATGGGTAATGAAGA